AGTCACTTTTTCAAGGAAGCCTTCTCTGATAGCATTATTAAATATTGTAACCTCCCCCACGACATTCTCTTTCCCTATTTACGGACTTCTTTTTATCTATAGCACTATATTTTCTCTAATATATTTAATATATTTTCTCTAATAGACTGTAGAGTTTGTCTGTCCGTCTTCCCCCCCCCCCACCAGAAAGTAAGCCCCATGAGAGCAGAGATTTTTCCCCTTCTTCCACTACAGTAAACTAATTGCCAGAAACAGTGTCTCACACAGAGTAAGCACCCAATAAATTTAAAAAAAAATTTTAATGTTTTATTTACTTTTGAGAGAGAGAATGAGCGGGAGAGGGGCGGAGACAGGGAGACACAGAATCCATGAAGCAGGCTCCAGGCTCTGAACTGTCAGTGCAGAGCCCGATGTGAAGCTTGAACCCGTGAACCACGAGGTCACGACCTGAGCAGGAGTCAGATGCTTAACCGACTGAGCCACCCAGGTGCCCCCAATAAATTTTTGTTAAATGAATGAATGAATTCCAGTTTGTGTTGAGACCAAGTAGCAAATCCAGATGTGCGCTGGAGAAATAAGGGTGGATTGTTTTCTGGTGGATTGTATCAGTGATTTAACTTTAGCACCATTGATGTAAGAGCTATCTTTGCATTGTGTGTCTGTATGTCTTCTCTATAGGTTCTCTGTATGCAAGTCGCTTCATAGAGTAAGTAGGTAAGCAGCAAATAGTGAGTGGAGGGAAGCCTTTGCAGCATGGCAGTGGTTTCTGTACACACTATGTCAAGACTTGTCCCTGGTGTCTTGCCAGGAAGTGCCCAATGGTATTCCATAGCTTCTACATTATGCTTGTCCTCTTGGATGTAACTCAGTGGTTATTCCAGGACCATGGATTCATCATATTAGTCTTTTCACTTCTTATTTTGGTTGTGATTCTTTCTTCATTGCATGTGGTCTTTTGTCCCTTGAAGTCCCTTTTGCCCCTCCAACATTTCATTAGTATCTCTCCTGTAGCTTTTTCAGTGTCCTTAAATATAATTCAGCATTTTCCCAGTCTTAAAATTAAGTCTTTAAGTAAAAAACAGCTAAAGAACTTTAAACGTTCAATGTAGTGAAGGTTGTAAGAGGTCTAAACATAATTTCAAAACAATAAAGTAAATAAGCACTGAGAAATCCACACAGTTCTTATAAATAGTCACTGCCCACTCCTGTCATTGCCAACACATGTCAATGAACAAAGTTGTTTTTATGAGCTGTCTGGATGTGTTTGCATTCATTGGCCCTGAGATCTCCACACTTAGTTCAACCATGGGGAAATACATGTAAACATTTTCAGTCTTTAAAATGCACAAATAATATTAAGACTGTAAATCTTTTTTCCTTACAGCCTCTATCTATTGCCTCAGACTCTATTTGCTCTGTGTCCTACCATGAACAACCCAGCCTTTGCAGTCAGACCTGAATTTGAATCTAGTTTTACTTCTTATGAACTGAGTCTCATTTCCCACCACCAACCATTTCAAGATGAGACTGAAAGATCCACCTTTCAAGGTTGTTGTGAGAATCCCATGCCTAGGGTCTTGGTACTTAAATGCTGTTGTTATCATTGGAATCATACTTTAGATATACTATTAAATATGGAAACTTCCAAGCATGCACAAAAATGCCGAGAATAGTTTATTGGACCTCCAAGGACCCAGCTTCAACAATTATCTACCCATGCCAATCTTGTTTCATCTGTCCGCCCTGTGTCCTCCTTCCCCCCGATTATTTTGAAATAGATCACAGATATCATGTCATTCATCTGTAAATATTATAGTAGGTATCTCTGAAGGACACATTCTTTTGAAAAATAACCATAAAATCTTATTATCAGAATGTCATTCCTAAAAACTATCAAATACCCCGTTAGTATTCAGATCGCCCAATTGTCACATGGGGTTTGTTTTTGAACAGTTTAAGTCAGTAGCCAAATAAGGTCTATACCCTTTAATATTTAATTGGAAATATAATCAAGGTATGGGAAGAGTTTTGCCATAAGAATGTGCATTGTAGGGGCACCCGGGTGGCTCAGTCGGTTAAGCGACTGACTTTGGCTCGGGTCATGATCTCATGGTTTGTGGGCTCTAGCCCCATGATGGGCTCTGTGCTGACAGCTCGGAGCCTGGAGCCTGCTTCAGATTCTGTGTCTCCCTCTCCTCTTTGTGCTCTCTTTCTCAAAAATAAATAAATGTTAAAAAACAATTTTTTAAATAAAAAAAAGAATGCACATTGTAGTGTTGTTTAGAATGAAGAAAAATAAAATAATCATAGAAGAATAGGGGATTGGCTCTAAAAAAAGGGTATGTGACCTGACAATAGAACATACACAGCAGTTTAAAACAATACTGTAGAAAGACTGTGTATTGAACAGAAAAGGTATTGGTGAGTGAAAAAAGCAGGTTATAAAACAGTATTTACACTTTCTATTTTTGTTAATAAAATATATATCTCATATGCCTATTTCGAATGGTGGGGGAATGAATGATTTTAATTCTCTCCTAAATTTTAGAATTAACATTTCTCATCATTCTATAAGTGATCATGTATTACTTGTGTAATAAAAAGTTGTTAAAAATAAAAATGCAGCAAAAGCGCATTTTGGTGGTTGTTTGGTTTCATACAGAGTTACTTATATTTGGCTTGTTAAGCTTCATTCTTACCATGTGTTTTCTCATGTGATCTGCAGAGAAGTCCTCAGAGGCAAGAAGAAGCAGAAGCCCTGAGAGGCTTTGTGCCTCCACCTGATGCTAGCACATAGCTCCACAAAAGCGCATTCATATGGCTGTTGTTCAGGCTTGGGACACATGATCTCACGCGGTCTCCACATGCCATCCTGGGAAGGTGGGAGGCAGAGGTGTGCTGGGACTCATCTTCCTTTTAAGGGGAGAACCGAGTCATAGAGAACATGACTTTTCCTCACACCGCCTCTCAGGTTAGCTGTAGGGCCAGGTTTTGGTCCAGATGTTTGGTGCTGGCCATAACCATGAGATTACGTTTTGCATCTCTTCGGGATTGCAACATTTCAGTGTAGGTGTGCATGGGGCGGGACCAACCTCTGTTTGGTGAAGGGAGTGCTTAATCCTGTCTCAGTGTAACACACGGCACTGCATTCTGTGGTTCAGGATCTGACCCAACTTGCTCAAATTCTCCACACCCATTTAGGGAAGGATTGGCTTCTGCTTGTCTTTGCTTTCTGTGCAATATTCACATTCTGTCCACTGTCACCTTCTCTAACCTTTACCGCCTGCTGATGTCCGCAGCCCCTGGGTCCTGTGCACTCAGCTCATGTCTTCTGTGGCACTCTGAAGCCTGCACGGTCTGTCTGCTGCCCCTGCACCAAGCCCTCCCCATCCCCACCATGCTCCTGCTTCCATGGTCCCCTCTTGGCCATGCTCCACCTGTATTCAAGCTGGTTCGGACTTCTTCTTCTCTGAATCCTTATCTGTACCTTGCAACTTAGTTGTATATTTCTTGTTCTCTATGTCCACCCTTTTCCCCCTAAAAGACTGTGGGCTCCTTGCAGGCAGACATTGTCAATAATGATGGCAATGATAACCGTTCTGATAGGTGACTGGGCCCTTCTGGTGTATAGGCCCACAGCTTAGTGATTTACATAATTTCTCACTCAGTGATGGCAGTGTTTATAATGTCACTTGACAGATGAAGAAATCAAAGCTCTGAGAGATTGAGTAACTAGTCCAAGATCACTCAGCTAGAAAGTGAGAGAACAAGAATTTTAATTGTATCTGTTTAATTGTAAAGTCCATGCTTTTCCACACTGCACACTCTTTGTCACTGTTGGTTGCTTGATTCAAATTTCCTGGAGTGTTCTTCACAGTGGCATCCCTGGAGTTTTCCTTTGGTGGTAGCAAAGCCTCCTGTCAATAAGAGAGCAGATAGTACTCTCCCTGGCCCAGATGGTTGGCTGGGATGAGAAAATTCCAGGCTCTCTGTGTGTTCTTCCCACCCCCTTTCTTGCCTCTGCACACCCTTCACTGCCCAACAACTCCTCTCTCTTGTCCCTTTCCCCAGGGACACTTAAACAGCCAGAGGACTCTCCCTAGACAACTGGGAATCCCTGGGACTGCAGGTCTAATATGTTTTGATAGAGTTGGTAAAAAAAAAAAAAAAAAAAAATAGAGCCATGGATCAGCCTAAGTCCCTGAGGAGAGAATCCAGACTGAAGACAAACCAACCTCCCCTACACCGCCCCCACATCCCCCATCTGGACCCTTTCCCTTCATGGCTCCCCTTCCCCTCCCCCAATCAGAATCCCTGTTTAGGGGCTCCCTAAGCCTTTGAGCACAGCTCCACCCCTCTCCCCGCACCTAAAGTTTGGGGGCTGCATTCAAGTGAGAGATTTCCAAGTAGGGGTGTGTTAGAGGGACTTCTTCTGAGGGCAGCTTGTCCTGGAAAAACAAGGAAAAGAGTGGCAGCCACCGCTGCTATCTCTGAGGACATCACCGTAGCTTCCCAGGAGACCCTCTGCTCTTTCCCCTCCCACACCAGCCCAGGAGAGCGAGCGAGCAGAGCGATCAGGGACCGAGCTTGCTTATCGTCACCTGACGCTGGGCAGCCACTGATCCCATTGGTGGAGCCAGATTCAGTCTGGCTCTCTCGTTCTTTCTCGCCTTCTCTGCCTCTCTCTCTCTCCTCCACGCTGCTTTGATTTCGCTCTTGCCTCTCCTTGCGCTCGGCTGGGAACATCGCCTCTCTGGGGGCAGCAGCAGTGCGCTGCAGAGCCGGCAGGAGCTGCCTGCCGGGGCATGGAAGAAGCCTCTTTGGCAGCCTCGAGAGGAGCGAGAGGAGAGCGAGCGCGCCTCTGTCTGTGACCCAGGAGTCGCCGCTGCCCCTCTCCCTGGGGAGCACATCCACACAGAGGTCTCTCCCTTCCCTCCCTTCCGGGTCTTCCTCTGCAGAGCCCAGTGGAGCCAGGTGAGTGCCCTTTCTCCCCAGAGCATCCTGCTGTCAATTCTGAGAGGGACTCAGGTGGCAAGGGGCTAGGAGGTGGGGGCACCAGGGGCCTGCCACTGCCCATGGTACCCACCTGGATTGCCAGGGCCAACGACCTTGTCCCCTGTTCCCCAGGGCCTTGGCAAAGAGGTTAACCCCCGGATCCAGTCCCCGGGGCACCACAGTCAGTCACCCCGTGACCATTCTGCTGCAGTCAGCGATGCCAACAGGGACAGTGGGGTGGGGAGAGACTTCCCTCTGGCTTGTGGGTGGCTTTTCTGGATGGGCATGGGCAAGGGGTATCCATGTGCACGGCATGTATGCATGCTTGCAAGGAGCCTGGAGGTTTGCTTGCGTAGATAGTTCTGTATGTACACGCCTGTGCTCATGTGTGGGTCTCCACAGCTGTGTGGCATGTTTAGGAACATACGTTTCTTGTACATGTGAGGTACGTGTGTGGGGGGGGGTCACTTATCTGAGTAGCCTTTGGGTTATGTGGGCGGGGGCAGTGTGAGGCAGTATATTTATGGGGTGGACATATCACTTGTCATGTGTGTGGGAGTACATGGTGAGGGAGGGAATGCGTGCAACCAAAGCATTTCTATGTGGGGAGGGGTGACTCCAGAGCAGAAAGGGATAGGTAGGTGGAGAGTGTGGGCAGAAGCCACTGTCTGTGGGCAGCCCCTCATAGGTGTGCAAACCTGTTGGCACGGGAAGGATCAGGGCTGGCAGAGTGTGGCTAGAGACAAACCACATTTCCATAGCTGGGGTCTTTGAGCCTGGGGAAGACTTGAGAGAGAATATCAGAATATGGGCAGAGGTTGACGTGCGTGTGAATACACATGTGTGTGCAAGCAGGCATATGGATTGTATGCCTTCTGTGGAGGTAGGACGCGCCTGTGGCTTTCTCTTCCCCCCAAATATAGCTTGTGAGAATGTGTGCCTGTATGTGTGCGTGAGCCTATGAACTTGAACATGTGTGGGTCTGTGTGGAGGTGACAGCTTGTAGAGGGGAAACTGTGGGACATTCTTAGAATGTGGAACGTGGCGGAGGCACCCGAGTGCGTAGGTGAGTGAGTGGGTCTGAGAATGTCCGAGGAGGTGTGTGCAGCCCGTGTGCGGCAGGTGTGGGCGGGCACATTCAGTGTATGTGTGCGTGTGTGTATACGTGTGCACGTACACATGTGCTTACCTGTGTGTGGGTGTGTAAATGCTTGTCTTGGCAGTGTGGGTGTTTCTCAGGTCCTGTCTCAACCTGTCCCTCACACCCCGACCTTCCCCAGTCACTTGGACTTGGAGAACTGGGGCTCACACCCACCCTTGGTCCACCCTGGCTTTGCTGTTCTCCCGAGTGTCACTCATGACCACTCTCCCAAACTAGCATGGGGGAGTAATCTCAGCTTTTCTAGAACTGTAGAAAGAAAGAATGAGCCAGGTCCTGGAGATGCACCCCCCCCTTGCAAAGATGGCTGCCCCGTCTCTGGAGGAGACTCTGAAGAGAGGAGTATTGAGGAATAGGTGTCCACATGTGGGGTAGGCATAGACTGAATCCCCTGTGGATGGGAGGTGGTGGCTCAGGCCCTTTCTAGCGTGGGATTGTGTCTGTGTTGGTGTGTTGTGTTGGTGCATGTGTGTGTGTGTGTGTGTGTGTGTGTGTGTGTGTGTATGTGGGTGCATGTGGGTGCATGCGTGTGTCTCCCTGGGGAGCTTCTCACAGGGAGCCCAGAGGATAGCAACTCCCCACGTCTCCACATCTGTCCCCATGAATTGCAAACTGGTTTATTATCATCCAGTTGTTTACCAATCCTATTCTGTTTTATTTTTGGGTGGACCTGGTAGCACCCCCATGCTTATTTACCGTAGGATTCTCTGTGCACAAGCCACCGGCATTTGGCTGGACTTCACGACAGGCAGGCTCACGCTTTAGGGTAAGAAGCTCAAATGAAACAGGGGCTCAGGGGACACCCTGGAATAGGTAAAAGCCATCACCCATATCCTTCACCCTGTGCCTGCCACTCAGGCAGCCCACGGATGAATTTAGAGGTATCAGGCTCCACAACAGGCTTAATTGACAGGAGAGTGTGGGTTGGATCTTCTGGAAGCTATAAATAGAAGTACCTGCTTTCGAAGGCACAAGGTACCCTTACCCTTAGCACCTGGGCAAAGAGAAGAGAAGAAGCAGAAGGGGAGAAAAGGAAACCACATTCCAGAAAGCTGAGGTGTGCTTGGACGGGGCTTGAGAAAGAACCAGGAAAGCATGAGCTTCACTGGGCACTAAGCAAATGCCCGGGAGCAAGTCCAACCCACATTCATGTTCTTGTCCCAGAGACAGTCTCTCCCCACTCCCTGTCCCTTCCCCACCCTGTTTCCCAGACCTCATGAGCCAGGCCACAGTCAAGGACAGGGTCAGATCTTCCTAGCAAAAGCACAGGTGAGTGACAGTGCTATGGTCCTTTTATACCTGGAAGAGCAGCTGGGGTAGAAAAAGCAAAGGTGAGAGAAGAGGAAGGTGAGAGAAAATGCAGTTACTTGAAAGGGAAGGATAGAAGGAAGAAAAATAAATAGCAATAAAACCATGTGCACCTATGCATATACACATGCCACACATGTCACACACACACGCACACGCACACACGAGGGGACACAAACTTGGCTTAATGATAAAGAGTTTGAGCTCTGGAGTCAGATGTGAATTCAAATCATTTTTTAGGCTGTGTGACCTTTGGCATCTTGGTACCCCCCCCACCTCAGTTAACCCATCTGTAAAATGGGGATAGGGGCCCCTGAGTGGCTCAGTCAGTTAAGCATCCGACTCTTTATCTCAGGGGCTTGAGTTCAAGCCCCACATTGGGCTCTGTGCTGGGCATGAAGCCTACTTTAAAAACAAATAAATAAAATAAAATGGGGGGCAATAAGAGTACCTACCTATTGTGAGGTTTGCACGATATGATGCTTATGCAGTTATTATTACCACACAGATGCCTGAGGAAAATGTCAAAGGTAAAACCAATTATTTAAACAAGTCAAGCAACAGAGGATCAGCTGAAAGGAGAGAGTGATAGTTGAAAAGTCATGGGTGAAAGAAGAGCTGTGGCCCACGCTGCCCCCTCCCGCCACCAGTGTATCCAAGGGCATCTCCGTGGCACTTGTCCTCCTAGCCCTGCGTCTTGGTGACCCTCCCTGAGTCACCCCTAGAGACGAGGGCGGCCCACGCCGGAGCGACCTGTCACCCTTGGCCTCTCGGCTGCCAGTGCCCTCTGCCCGCCTCAACCCTCACACTGGTCTCTTCCGTGGGTGCTTCCTGTCTCTCCTACGCCTCGCACAGCTCTCTCCACCCCCACCCCCTTTCTCTTTTCACGCCTGCTGGCTGAGAGCCCCCCTCCTCGGTTCCATCTGCTGCAAATCTGTCCTGCCTGGCGTCTGCAGCATTCCCACTGCCTTTGCCACCTGTCAGGTGCGTCTGCTCAGCAGACCCCTCTGAGGAGAGCCAAGAACCGCCCAGGGGGGACACCCCATCCCACCTTTGGTCTTACCCCTCCACCATGCAATCTTCCCATCAGATTGGATGAGGCAGGTGTAATCAGTGGATTATCCCCAAGGTTCCAATTTGCAAGAGATGCTGGGAGCAAGACATTCCAGAAAATTCGGTGGCAGGGAGGAAGCTGCTAATTCTTCCTCTCCCATCAGTCCCCAAAGGAGCCAAGCCACAGGGGAGCATGGAGCTGCTGTCCACGCCCCACAGCATCGAGGTCAACAACATCACCTGTGACTCCTTCCGCATCTCCTGGGCCATGGAGAACAGTGACCTGGAGAGGGTCACCCATTACTTCATTGACCTTAACAAGAAGGAGAATAAGAACTCCAACAAGTTCAAGCACCGGGTGAGTGGAGGGTGTGCAGAGGGCCTCTTGTTTACACCCCTCCTTAAAGGGAGCAGGATGATGGAATGCTTGTGGGTGATCGTCGGGAGTCAGAGAAGCCTGGTTCAGATTACTCTGTGTAATCTTAGGAAAGTTCTTTAGCCTCTCTGAGCCCAAGTTCCTTCACTGGTAAAAAGGGAATAACAATGCCAGCCCCCGCAGGCTTGTGAGAGGCTTTGGTGAGGTAATGTTTGCGTGGTGTCTGGCTTGGGGCCCAGCCACCATGGACACCATTATCGGCATCATGACTGGGCTTCAGATGGATCAGGAAAACCTGGGCAGGGGGAGGGGCGGGGGTGTGGGGGGGTGTGGGGGGGGCACAGACATCACACCTGGGGCTGGTGTCTCAGGATCCCACAAAGCCCCTGACTCAGGAAGGAGCTTTGTTGTTAACTGTGTGGGCCACTCGGTCCATGGGCAGGGGTGGGGCCCTTTGCTTGGTCCTCAAGGACGCCTCTTAGGCCCCTGTGATCCTCTCTGGCCCTGGCCCTCTGGTTTAGTGGTGTGGCTGGGTTTAGGAAAGAAACATGAGAGTCCTCCGCTGGCTGGAGTGTCCTTTCCCTGGGTCAGAGCAGCGTGGGGGTGGGCGGGAGGAAGGCTCCCACCTTCTCAAGCTGGCAGAGATGAAGGGGGAAGAGTGAGGTGGGAAGGAGCTGGTTCCCACGACGACCGTATCATGTGGGTTACTCACCCTCTCTCTCTTTGGAACTGGCTCTCCCGATCTGGGTGTCTTTTGGCAGGCCAGTTGCCACGGTGACGTGAATGTTCAACACCACCCCCTTAACCCTCCCCCCCCAAAGAATAAGGATATTTTCCCTTCCTCCCTGGCTCTCAGCATTTGCCGTTGCCGTGGAGACGGCACTGCAGTGTGCAGAGCTCTCGAAGTCTCCCTCGAAAACGGAGGTCTCACTGCCCTCAACTTTTCAGCCTCCACCCCAGTGGCCTTTCTCCCTAGTTCCCAAGAGAGTGGGTGTCAGGGGGCATGATGAGGGGTGGAGGCTGGGGGCTATCAATATGGCCTTCCCAATGGCCACTGCTTCCTTCCTCAGGAAAATGGTGGCCAGGGCACCAAGCCATTGAATCTTGGAGACTTTGGCCCTCCTCAGGTGGCCCAGGTGCCATCTGGGGAGTGTGAGGTCTGGCAGAATGCCAAGATTGGACGTGACTCCCAGTTTGACTCTTGGCTCTCCGTCTGTATCCCATTTCTCAGGATGTCCCCACCAAGCTTGTGGCCAAGGCCGTGCCACTGCCCATGACAGTGAGAGGCCACTGGTTCCTGAGCCCCCGCACAGAGTACAGCGTGGCCGTGCAGACCGCCGTAAAGCAGAGTGATGGAGAGTACCTGGTGTCCGGCTGGAGCGAGACAGTCGAGTTCTGCACTGGGGGTGAGGCCCTGCTGTCCTGCTGCTTTAGCACATCTGGCTTAGTTGTGATCTTACCCAGCACACACTTAGGAACACCTGCTGTATACAGGCTCTATGCTCAGGCTGTCAGGGAGATACTCATGGATGTGCCTCGCCCCTGCCCGCAAAAAACCTGCAGTCTGACACAGGAGGCAGACGTGAGCCCTGCTAATCATGTTGACAATACCATTCCCGTACAGGCATGGAACTACTTTTCTGGCTTGGGGCAAGCATGTTTTTCTGAACTGTAGTAAAATGCACACCAACACAAAATTTCCCATTTTAACCATTGTTAAATGTATAGCTCAGTAGTATTATTAAGTACGTTCACACTGGTGTGCCACTGACCTCCAGAACTATTTCAACTTTCCAAACCGAAACTCTAACCCCATTAAACAGCAGCTCTCCCTTCCCTCCTCACTCCAGTCCCTGGAAACCACCATTCCACTTTCTGGGTCTGTAAATTTGACTACTGTTGGTACTTCACGTGAGGGGAATCACAGTATTTGTCCTTCTGCAATTGGCTTATTTTGCTCAGCATAATGTCCCCAAGATTCATCCACGTTGAGCATATGTCAAAACGTCCTTCCTCTACAAGGCTGAACAATTGTATGTGCGGACTACACATTGTTCATCCATCGTCGGTAGATGGATACTTAGTAGGTCATCACATTTGCTTGTCTTGAGGCTCCACTTAGCCTGGAAAATGACCCCTGTTCGGTGGTCCTGCAAACCTCTTAGCAGAATTCAGTTGGCAAATTCCAGCATGAACAAACACCAGGCTTATGTGTACTTGGTTGTGGATGACCCACGATCTGCCCCACAATATTCCATTCCTTTGGTGTCCACAGTGAGAATTGCTCCAGATCTCTCTCTGTCACAAGGAAGGGGCAGGGAACATTCTTAGCCCCGGGCCTCTGAAGCTGCTGGTTCCATCCTCTGCCAAGGCCTATGCCCCAAGTCTCCTTGACATGCCATTCTCTTTTGAGTGGTGCTTTTTCTTAGCTCGGCTGCAAAACCCCACTCTCTGGAGGTGCTCCCACTCCTTGTGGGGAAAGCCTCTGGGTTTACCCCAGAACTCCACACGTGGTGGAAGTTTAATTCAAACTGGGGAGTTGGGGATGGCTGCAGTCCAGTCCACACTACTCTTGCCAAACCCAGCACCCTGGCCAGGGCTACATCAGCAAGGAGGAAAGGGCACCTTTTTCTAATTTGTACAAAGGCTCTGTCTTGGCTAGCAGCCGCCCTGCCTGGGCCCCAGGGCCCCAGACTCTGATCCTGGCCCTGGGAGGTGTCCAATCTTACCATCCTGTTTCCAGCCTTCCCTGCTTCTCCTGGGGTGCAGATGCACTCACTGCCTCAGACCCTAGTCTGGCTAACCATTCACTTCAGTGCTCTGTGATCTCCTCATGAGCCCCCACCTGTAATTACCACTGGCTTCCACAGCCTTTTGCCTGCTGGGTTTGAGTTCTCCCTAGAGGACCTCAAATTCTCCCCTCTCAATCCTTCCTTTGCTTGCTGGTCCTCTTCACATGAGGATAGCTAGTGATTACAGCTCCTGGGGTCCCCAGCGTGATTGTCTAACTGGGCACCCCCTGCCCCTTTCTGACTCAGAGCCCTGAGCCTCTGGCAGCGAGGGTGCAGAGGTGCACCCAGCTGTCCATGTTCCCAGCTGGGCCACCTGGCCTGTTCCTATGTGGTCCAAGGTGCTGTAACTCTTTGGTATCCCCTGTTGCTCTGAAGACAGTTGTGGGCTGGTGTTCAATGTGCACAGTGGGTGAGTGTGGGAGGCTGTGATGCTCAGTCTGGCCCTGGGCTTACCAGCCTGGACTCTTGCAGACTATGCCAAGGAACACCTGGCCCAGCTGCAGGAGAAGGCTGAACAGATCGCAGGCCGCATGCTCCGCTTCTCTGTCTTCTACCGCAACCACCACAAGGAGTACTTCCAGCATGCCAGGTACAGCATGGCCCCTAGCAGGGCCTGGGTCTCTCCTTCCTCCCCTGGCTCTGCTTTGCCCACACAGCCCTGGCTGTCTGACATCACCCCCACCTTGTCATTGCCAGACCAGAGTCCCCATGGCATCTTATCACAGGCTGGCTCTGGGAGGGGGGTGGGGGGTGGCTGGCTGTTTGGGATTGGGCTCCAAGGAAGGAGAGCACTCTCCTTGGGATGGGGCTGCCTGGGGGAACCATGCTAACTGGCCTGGGTGAACGAGATCTCGGGTTTGTTCCTCCTTTGGGACAGTTCCTTTCACTGGGTTCTAATGCCAAGGGTCAGCCATCTCTCCAGTTCAAGCCCTGGGTCCCTGGGGGAGGTGGTGAGGGTAGCACAGAGCGACAGGTTTCCATGCATGAAGGGTCATTGTTTTCAAACTGTGTGCTGGATAGCCTGGAGGCTCCAGGAAACTATCTCAGGGCACTTTGTGGTGGGGGGAGAGGGGGGTACTGACGGGTTGTTGAAGAAATCAGGCTGAGTCTTGGTGGGCCCCACACCTATCATTCAGCGGGAGCATCTTCAATTTTATTGCCTATGGACCGCCTATGTATAATTTCCTTCGGGGAAGAAAGAGAGGGGCTCTGTAGTCCAGAAATATTCAATCCAACTGATGATCTGGTCCAACCCACTCAGCCTATAGATGGAGAGCCTGAAGCCCAGAAAGCCAGTAAGTCACTAGTTACTTGAGACTTCCAGGACCAGGCAAGGGTGAGGCTGGGTCTGGGGCTGCCCATCCTCCCCAGGCCTGCTGACACTGCTCCAAGACATTGTCCTTCTAAGGCTGGACTAGGGCAAGCTGCTACTCTTACTGTCTTTGTCATTGCATTCAGCTGGGGTGGGGCGTTCTGACCCTACCCCAGGGCAGCAGGGAACAAGGGAGATCTTTGGTGTTTGTACTAAAGAAGAGAGGCAGTGAGGTGTGTGGTGAGCTCACTGGCCCAGTTTGAGCTCCTCTTTCAGCAAGTAAGAAAGAGTCAGAAAGCACCCATATGTGCTAGGATATAAAGGTGAATAAAGGCAGAGTGCCCCCTCTTGAAAACCTCAGAGTCTATCGGGGGGACAGTACAGACAGATGGAATGTAATGAGTGTGTGTGTGATTGTTGAGTATAATTCAGTGTCTGCACATGGTTTTGTTGAATACAAATGCCTGATGCTCCTGGAAGATTTTGAGAGCAGGGGATACCTATGCTGGGCCTTGATGGATGATTAGGAATTTGCCAGGGTAGGTGAAAGGAGGTGGGAAAGGCAGTCCAGGCAGAGGGAAGAGCACTGCAAAGGCACAAAGGCAGGAAAGTTGGGGTTCACATGTGGCTGGAGGATCTTACCTATGGATGTGGGGGTGTTGGGAGGTGGGGTTAGAA